GTATCAGACGCACCTTAGTCTCCAGAGAGACACCACTGCTCTTCAGCACTTTGGAGAGGTCCCTAACAACAGACTTTCCCATGGCAATGTGCCTTCTCTGCAGCTTAGAAAATATTGATGGCTAAGAAGGTGATCCAGAAAGTTTCCACTCTGTGAGTCCTTGACCCTTAGTGTAGACAAACTGAGATAGAATTACAACTTGAAGCTTTTTAATGTACAGTATTTTTATATTTGCTCTTACCTTTTTTAGGCAGCTATTTTTGCTATGATAATCCTGCTGCCCTTCAGACTCAGATCCAACGGGTAAGTTAAAGTATCACCTGCATTTCTTTTGTTTGCTTTGGAGCAGATAATAGCCACTGGCCTGTCATCAGCTCTCAGGCTGTCGAGGCTGAAATGTTGCACCCTGAATCCACTTGACCATCTGTGGCCACCAGATCAATGAGTGACCTTCTTGAGTTAGAGTGCGTGGCGTCAGGAATTCATTAGTAGCACATGTGATTCTAAATTGTTTCACAGTGTAAGTATATAATTCTGTGCTGTTTCCAAAGTATTACCAAGCAGTATTAGCAAATTTTTGTTTGCATTCACTCTTCATTGCTTAGCTACTAGAATGCAAAGTTATTTTAGAGGATATCTGTTTTATTTCTTAAATACTTTATGATTGTGATTTGTTTGTTTTTTAAAATAGGAACATTAATTACAAAAGATTGTATATGTCATGTTACTGTACTTTTTACATAATAAAATCATATTTAATATTTATACTTTCAGGCATTTTTTTAAAGTGGTCTTTTTGTATTTATATGTATGTATGTATGTAACTCGCTAGCCGTTAAGCAGGGAAGAATGTATGTAGAAAGACTCCATGCAGGAAAGAAAGAATACTAGGTAGGAGTTGATGGAGGATGTGGATGGAATGGAATGACTCTCTTGCGTATATGAAAGGAGCTCCTGACCTGGTAGTGTGGAGAGGGTGCAGGCAGGCATGTCTGTGGCCTCACTTCATGGATCGTGACGCCCCTGGAATGGCATATAAGTTTTCGAGAGCAGGGGCTTTAGCTCTTATGAGATTCTCAAGGCAGTGGTAGTGGCTGGGTGCTGGCATTTGACTCTGACTCATAACAACCTTTCGTAGAGCTGAACAGAACCCTGTTTCACCCCACACATCCTGGCAGCCACTGTTTTTCTTAAGCCCCTTGTTCCAGTCACTGTGCTGGTCCATTCTGTTGCAGCTCTGGTTTTCCAAGTATAATGTCCTTTCAGGGACAAGACCCCTCCTGATCACCAGCCTACAGTGCATGAGATGAAGTCTCACTCTCCTTGTTTCTTAGCAACATTATGGCTGCACTTCTTTTAAAATGGATTTGTTCTTTTATTTTGACAGACCATGATAGTATTAAAAATTCTTCTCCAATACTGCAGTTCAGTGGAGTTCTGGTGGCCTCGTGCTTAAGGAATTGTATTGCCAATAATCTTTGAATCCAATAATTGTTCCTAGGGAGAAAGATAGGCAGTTTCCTCTTGTGCAGTTTACAGTTTCTGAGAACCCACTAGAAGATCAGCTAGAGTCGATTCTGACTTCATGGCAAACAATAACCACCACCCCCACCACCACAGTTCAAAGAGATAAAATTCTTTTTGGTCTTACTCCTTGTTAAAGAGACTTAAGAATGCCTGATAAACCCCTGCTCTACAGAGAAAGAATTCAGAAAACTTTCTGCTTTGATTTCTTAGTTGCTAAATTTGTTTCTTCCCTTGTAGGATATGCAGGTGAACACCACAAAATTTATGTTCCTGTATGCCTGGTATTCTTGGCCCAATGTAGTATTGTGTTTCTTTGGTGGCTTTTTGATAGATCGAGTGTTTGGAATACGGTAAGCATGTAAAAATATTACTCGTGGGTAAAAATTGGTTATTAGGAAAATACAGAACAAAGCTAAGTGTTTTTCTAGAAATGACTGAGTAAACTTCCGAACGGACCATGCTAATCTATATTATTTCCCCCTCTATAATCTTTCTTTCTCTCTTGAATTGGTTTTTGAAACTTGATTCCTATTTCTTCAAGCCATTTACTTCAGGTCGAAGCTTGTGGATGATGTGGATGGAATAATGGTAGATATACCCACATTTGAGATCAGAGCGAGTGGGAGCTGAATCTCATGGTTTAGAGTTGTCCCATTTTGTAGTCGTGTGGCTTTCTGAGGTTCAGTTCTGTCATTGTGAAAATACAGAAAATAATTCCTCACTTGGAAGGTCATGAAGAGTGCAGGTACTTGGCTTGTAGGTGGTCTGTATCTCCTCGGCCTCAGTGAGATTCTCATTCTCCTTCTGCCTTTGGGCACTGGACTTTTTTAAACTGCTTTTTTTTTGCTGCTGAGGAAGGAATAACAAAGTGAGCTCTGCCACTTTTCAGCCTACAGTTTTGTGTGTATGTTATTAGTGGAGATTTTGGGAGAACTGTTTTTGAAAGACAGAGACCAGGATGTTGAAGGGTCTTTACACCACAGAGAACGTTGAGGGCACTTGTGTGGAAGACTTGGAGAGGAACTTTTTGAAGGGTTAGAGTATGAAGTAAGGATTGTTTGTTTATTTGGGTTGGCCTTAAGGTGTGGAGTTAGCTTGAAACTTAAGGAGAACAGATTCTGCGTATTATGATGAAGATTTGACAGGAGATAATATAAATTGCTCTAGGATCATAGTAAATATTGCAGTGTAGCATATTCTGGAGAATGTGGGATGGCTGTCCTACAAAGATCTTGAGAGTGATTTTAGCTTCAGAATATTTGGTTTATTCAGATGACCTTTAAGAAATCTAATTCTGATATTTTATTATACTCACTCACTCTTGTGAAGAGCTCAATATTTTTCCATTCCAAAGAAAGATGATCCAACAGGATGTGGAAACTATTGAGCAATGTCATTAATATCACATGCAAGCAAAATACTGCTGATAAGAATTCAAAAAACGGCTGGAACAATACATAGATAAGAAACTGCCAGAAGTTCAAGCAGGATTTAGAAGTGGCCATGACACCAGACAGATGGATTCTGGCTGAAAATAAAGAATACCAGAAGAATGCCTGGTTAAGTTTTATTGGCTTTTAAGGGCATTTGTATCATAACAAGGTATGGCTAACATTGACAAGAATGGGAATCTCAGAGTGCTTAATTGTGCTCATGTGAAACCTATTATCTAGACCAGGAGGCTGTTGTGCGAATAGCGCAAGGGAAACACTCCATGTTTTAAAATGAAGAAGGGAATGCATCAGAGTTGTATTCTCTCTCCATACCTATTCAGTCTGTATGTTGAAAAAATTATTCAAGAAGCTGGACTCTATGAAGAGAAATGTAATATACGGATCACAGGAAGACTCATCAATAACCTGTGTTACACAGATGAACAACCTTGCTTGCTGAAAGTAAGGAGGACTTGAGACACTTGTTGCAGAAGATCAAAGAAAACAGCCTTCAATATGGGTCACATCTCAATGTCAAGAAAATAAAAATTCTTATCACTGGACCTTTAGGCAATATGACGGATGAAGAAGAGATTGAAACTGCCAACAACTTCATCTTCCTTGGATCCACAGTCAGCACCTTTGGTACCAGCAGTGAGGAAATCAGGAGACATATTACAATGGGAAAGTCTGCAGTTGGGGACCTCTTCAAATTATTGAGGAGTCAGTTGATGTCATTTTGAGGACTAACGTGTGTCTGATTGAAGCCATGATCCCTCTGATCACTTACTATGCATCTCAGAGCTGGACAGTGACTAAGGACGACAGAAGAAGAATTGATGCCTTTAAGTTGTGGTGTTGGGGAAGAGTACTGAACAGATTGCTAAAAAAACCAAATATATCTTGGAGAAAGTGCATCCAGAGTGTTCCTTGGAGGCAGAAGTGATAAAGCTTTGCCTCACATACTTTGGGCATGTTCCTAGGAGGGGCCATTCCTTTAATGGGGAAGGAAAGGAAGACCCTCAACAAGGTGAATTAACACAGTGACTGCTGCAATGGGCTCTAGTGTGCCAGGAAATGCAAGGAGGGCACAAGATAGGACAGGGTTCAGGGCTGTTGTTCATAGGGTCGCTAGGGGCCCCACTCGACTCAGTGGCACCTAACAACAACGACAACAACAACTCACTCTTGTAGCTGTTGAATTGGAACTGATTAGCCTCCAGTAGTTTTTGGAGGCTGTACGTCGCTTGGAAGAGAATTACCCATCTTTCTTCTGAGGAGCATCTGGTGGATTTATTTCTCCAGGATAACATTAGTCAGATAGTGATTGTTAAATTATGTATATTTGTGATTGTGGTAACATGGTCATTGCTGACTCTTCAATATAGAATCCTAACCACTTAAAAGAATCTAACCTGAATTTTTAGAATCAGTCCTAAATTCTTAATAAAAGTTTTGTAGAGAGTTTAAAGATTTTAACGTTTTAATCTTGAGAACTTTGTAAAAATGATACATGAAGTAAGAGATGGTGCAGGATCATGTTAACATATTAATAGTATTAATAAAGACTAGAGTCTCCACATCAAGCTAGGCTTCTGCTAATGTACAGTCAGCCTAGGAAAACTGCACACATTAGAAGCAGTGTAGCACTTTATTATTCTTTTTTTAGTGGGTGGGGAGAGTGGCAAAAAAGAAAAAAAAGTGACTGTTACTGAGGGAATTGTTGATTGATTTGGTAGTAATGTGCTCTTAATTAACATTTGTTCTTTCTATATGTGTATCTTGCTTTCTTTTCAACAGATGGGGTACCATTATTTTTAGCTGCCTTGTTTGCATTGGACAGGTAAGGAAGACCAGGAAAGATAGATTAAATGACTGTTGAATATACCCTGGACTGGTAGGAGAACAAACAAGTTTGTCCTGGAGAGGGTGAAACCACACTGCTCCTTGGAGGCAAGGATTCTGAAGATTGCTCTGTGTGACATACTTTGCACACGTTTAAAGGAGAGACCAGTCCTTGGAAAGACATCATGCTTGAGAGGGTGTACAGACAACAATGCCATTAAGCACAATTATTATGTGCTAAAACAAAAAGTTCTATTTTAAGCTTCAAAACAGTTTAGCATTAGTATTTTGATTTCATAAACTTACTAAGGAGGAATGTTAAAATCACCATAGAGGGTCTCATATCTAAGTTACTTATTGTATCTCTTTAATACTTTGAGTTTACTTTTTAATTAATAGAATAATTCTTCATTTTAGGTTGTTTTTGCTCTGGGTGGATTATTTAATGCTTTTTGGCTGATGGAATTTGGAAGGTTTGTATTTGGGTAAGTTATGCATAATTTTATTTATCCTAACATATTAATTATTGTTCTGTACCATTGAGTTGAAACTGACTTACAGGTGAAACTCCATCAGCTTTTCTTAGGCAGTAAATCATTTGAGAGGAAATTGCCTTCTTCTGTGGAACAGCTGGTGAATTTGATCCATATACCTTTGGGTTTACAGCATAACTCCTTATCACTAGGCCACCAACCGGAACATGAATAAGGATGACAGAAGAAAAATGGATGACTTTGAATTGTGTTGTTGGAGTACTGAATACTCTATGGACTGCTTTGGTGTTAGCCTAAATGTTGGCTTTTTTTAGCCATTACATTAGGTGGTCTCCACCTAACTTAACTACAGACAGATGGTCTTACAAATCATCAATGGCTGTGGGAGTAGAATAAGAAAAACAGTGCTTCCCACACGGGGCAGCAAGACTTGCAGTGAGTTAGGCTTGTGGCGACAGGACTTGAGGGAGACTGGAGCAAGACACTGGTGAGAGCAAGACCCTGATGATGGTGGTGGAAAGACTGGCATTGCTATGGAAAAACTGTGGCAAGATACAAGCAGAGGAGCCCTGAGATAAAGACCACATATAAAGGTTTTTGCTCTTGCCAGATGCTTGAAGGAGAAGCTTTTACAACTGCTATGAGTCTAACTTTCCTGGATGATTTGGATTTGACTGCTGAACTGAAACCAGAGCCTGGACTAATTGCTTTGAAACTTGGGCTTGTTTTGAATGATATTCTTTGCCTCTCCAACTTACTTCCCCAGTAACCCCATTCTCAGTACCGTAACTGTGTGTCAACAATGAATAAACAGACCTCTTGCTGTTGGTGTGACTCTAGTCACACCATGGGACTGAGCTAAGACTTCTCATCTGCTTTCTGCTCTGCAGTGATTAGAGGCTGTGCTGCTCTTACTCCCTCTGGCTCTTTCAGAAAGGCTCTCATGCCATTTGCCTCCATGTCCCTTCTTCTCCTCAGTAGACAAATGCAAAAAGAGTAAACAGTTGTCTTGAAGAAAGTGTGAACAGAGTGCTTTTTGGAAGCAGGTTGACAAAGTTTTGTCTCACATACTTCGGATATGTTGTTAGGAGGGGCTGTTCTTGGAAAGAGACACCATGCTTGGAAAGGTGGAGAGTCAGCCAAACAGAGAGACACACCCAGCGAGCTGGATTGACCCAGTGATGGCAGCAGTAGGCCCACGTATGTCAGAGAGGATGAGGGTGGCGCAGGATGGGACAGAGTTCAGCTCTCTTGTTCATCCAATCACTATGAGTCATTTTGGACTTGATGGCACCTAACAAATTATTTAGGCCTCAAAGTGAAAGAAGGAAACAAAGTGTCAGTGAAGATCTGTAGGAAGTTCAGAGAAGAAAATGTGGTTGGATTTTAAATGACCTCATGGATGAAGGAGCCTTGATAGAGATATAGGATTCAGAATAGTTGTTGTTGTTGTTACGTGCCGTCGAGTCACCTGCGACTCATAGCGACCCTATGTACAACAGCCCTAAACTCCGCTCTGTCCTGTGCCAATCACACTGTCTCTGACACTCCCATCCCGATTACCCCAGTCACTGAATCAATCCACCTCATAGAGGGCCTTCCTCTCCACCCTCCCAAGCATGATGTCCCTCTCTAAGGACCGGTCTCTCCTCACTACATGTCCAAAGTAAGTTAGACGGAGCCTCAGAATCCTTGCCTCCAAGGAGCCACCCGGTTTAACCCTTTCCAGGACAAATCTGTTTGTTTTCCTAGCAGTCCATGGTATTCTCAATACTCTTCTCCAGCACCACAGCTCAAAGGCATCAATTCTCCTTCTATCCTCCTTGGTCATTGTCCAACTCTCTGATGCATAACAGGTGATTGCGAAGACCATAGCCTGTATCAGACGCACCTTAGTCTCCAGAGAGACACCATTGCTCTTCGGCACTTTGGAGAGGTCCCTAACAGCAGACTTTCCCATTGCAATGCGCCTTTTAATTTCCTGGCTGCTGGTGCCAAGACTGTTGACTATGGAGCCAAGCAAACTAAAGCTGTGTACAATCTCAGTCTCTTCACCATCCATCCTGATGCTGCCAATTGGTCCAGTGGTGAGAATCTTTGTCTTCTTGACATTGAGCCTCAATCCATAGTAGAGGATGGGAAAATAGTTTTGAACTAGGATGGAATGGTGAAGAGGGTTCAGTGTTAGGATACAGAGAGGGAGAAGGTACTGGGAGGAGTGGGAGAGTGGAATGATTAAGCATGTGAAACTCACTGAAGGAAAGTTAAAACCCAGGAGAGAAGAGAATGCTGAGTAATGAAGTAAACCAGGAAATGATTGATGGAGAGCTTTTATGTTCCCTGAAAAGAGATTTGTGTTTTCACGAAACATGAATCACTGTGCTCTTACCAGCATTTTGTAGTGTGTTGGTGGTGTGGGAAGCCAGATTCCCTTATTGGCTGTCAGTGGTTGCTGTTATTCCCACCACCACCACCATTACCACTGACTGAGTCACTTCTGACTCTTGACAAGTCAGGAGGTACAAACGAGTACGCAACTACTAACTGAAATTCTAGCCGTTTGAACCAACCTTAAGGCACTTGGAAGAAAGGCCTAATGACCTGCTGCTGAACGATCAAAGCCTCGAAGGAAGAACTGCTGTGAAGCATTTGCATTCTGCACAATGGCGTCACCCTGGAATCTACTGTTACATTTCAGATTACCCCAAAACTTAGTATACTGTGACTACTCATGATGTTCATGGCTGTGTGGGTTAGCTTTTTATAGTGGGTATGTGTAGATGGCTTGTCAGTGAAGGCTGGGGCTTGGTGTCGTCAGAAGGCTTGTTCACTCATACCTCTGGCTCCAGTTGTTGGGGGATTGAATTTGAGGACACCTGACTAGAGCATCTAACCATGAGCTTGTCTTTATCATAACGTGATGAACTTGGACGAAATGTACTGCTCACAGCGTGGCTCAGGCTCCAACAGCAAGTGAAAAGGCAAAAGACAAATGACATGCCTATTGATGACCCAAGGAATCATGTCTTTACGGTCTTGAGTACTGATAACTTTGAGGAACTTCGCTTTCCTGGTTTCCACCTTTGGAACATGTCGCTCAGGTTACACAGAGACACTAACATTTCCTGCCTTTGTAAAATCTGCTCAACCAGAAACCACCAGTGGGAACGTGACCTGCTGAGCGCTCCCCATTTTGCCTTGTGTATTCCTATAAATGGAAAAGACACAGGCAGATTGGGGAGCTCGGTTCTTAAAACATTAGTCTGCTGTAGCTCCACCAGCAATAAAAGCCTCTTCCTCTAATGCAGCTAGTGTTCGGGTGATTCTTTCTCCCATTTGGGCCTCATCCTCCTGTAACATTTCAGGCTTCACTTCTGTCATATTCTAATTGATGTAGTCACAAGCGCACCTGCATTCAAGGGGAACGACATGGTCCATATTGTAAACCTACTCTATAGCTTAATGGGTCCTCAGTGGCTCTCAGAAGTTAGTCCAAAAGTTGGCAGTTCAAACCCACCAGACAATCCAGGAGAAAGATGTGGTAGTCTACTTTTAAAAGATTTACAGCCTTGGAAACCTTATGGGTTGGTTCTGCTCTGTCTTATAGATTTACTGTGGTTTGGAATTAACTTGATGGCAGTAGACTTTAGTATTGTCTACTTGTGGGCTTTTTGGTAAAGCTATGATTTTTCTTTTACCTATGATATTTATTTAACAGCTGTGACTTTTCCTTCTAATTTTAGAACCGGTGGGGAGTCCTTAGCAGTTGCCCAAAATACCTACGCTGTGAGTTGGTTTAAAGGCAAAGAATTAAACCTGGTGTTTGGACTCCAACTTAGCATGGCTAGAATTGTAAGTATTCTGACAAATGGAATGAAACCAAATAGGAAGCAAATGTTTAAATCTTGTAGTCACCACTTAAAAGGTCATAGGATGGTGTATGTGTGTGTGTCTTTTAGTTACATTAGTATTTTAGAAAATTACATGCTGATTTTTTGATTTGTATCTCTAGAGATAAGCATCTACTTTGCTTTAAGACCGTTCCAACCCTATATTCTTTAGGGAACAGTCTACAGTGACTGTATTTGTTAATTCAGAGACAGATAATAACTCAGAGACAGATAATAATTCAGAGACAGTTAATTCAGATGTAATGCTGTGCAGGCTTTGTTGCCTCGTTTCTTGCCCATTTTAGGAGCTTTGTTGACGGGGTGCACGTGAGTTTCACTGCTCACTCAGAGGCTGTGCCTCTCTGTTGGTTTGAATCCATTAGTGGTTCCGTGGAGGAAGATGGGCAATCTCCTTCTTTGGCAGTTACAGCCTTGGAGCTCCAGTGGTCAGCGCTGAGTTGCTTCTGACTCAATGGCACCATGTGAATGAACTGTCAAAGTCTTCACATCCAGGCTCTGCACCTTTGGTGAATGGGGGCGGTCGCTCTGTGAAAGGCCAGTCTATCGACTTATTTAATGCTAGTGTCCTGAGCTTAATCTCTTACAGAGACGAAATCTACCTCGAAGTTGCTTTTAATGCTTAATGTAGTTGCCCTCTCTTCTTGTAACAGAACTTTGACTTGGTCAGAGATAGTTCTTTAGTTCTCAGTTAACTGCTCATTTTCTGTGGCTGTTTAATCCACGTGACGTGGTTTCCATTCTTTTACCCACATGTCTATGGACACACCCCTGTTGGTCATTGTCCCTCCAGCATTTGGAACCTGGAAGTGGACATGTGTTCCAGGATTGATCTGAGTGCATGGAAACCAGAGTAACAACTGTCTAATTTTTTAATGTTTTGTGTAAGTTGTTTTGGTGGTTCCATAGCTCATAAGTCCCCCCCCCCCCATAAATTCCTATGAACAGAGAGTTGAGGTGGATTTTGTAAGTTTTTTTGGTTGTTATCTTTGTCATTAAAAATCACATTTTCATGCTATGCAGCTGGCATTGAAGATGGAGGAAGGTGCCACAAGGCAAGGAATTCAGGCTTTCTTGTTGTTCCTGTTAGGTGCCGTCAGGTCGACTTTGACTCCTAATGACCCTGTGAACAACAGATCTGAACTTGGTCCTGTTCTGCAGCCCATTGATACATTCACCATGCCAGTCCGTATTGTTGAGGGGTTTCCTCTCTTTCGCTGACCTTTCCCAGTGTGATGTCTTTTTTTAAGGACTGACCCTTCCTGACAACGTGCCCAAAGTATGGGAGATGAAGTTTCACTACTAGAAGTTTAGACACTGGAAAAGGCAAGAAACGGATTCTTCCCTGCAACATTCTGAAAGGATTGCAACATTGCTGACACCATTAGTTCAGTGAGACCTGGTCAGATTTCTAAGCACTCAATCTTTAGGAAAATAAGAAGCATTGCTTTAAACTACTACTTTGTAGTAATTTGTAACAAAATTAGGAAACCAGTAGAATAATTAAGACTTATCTGCCACTCAGCTCTCAAAATTTAATGGTCATTTTACCAAATTTTCATTGTACGGTAGATAGTCTTGTAAAAAAACTAAATTTTCATTAACTAAAAAATGACATGAAAATGATTATAATTCTTTTTTAAAAATCACACTGCTGTATATGCATTTTAACGAATTTTTAAGTGTCAATTCACTGACATGAATTATATTTCTCATGTGTGGCCATTACCACTATTAATTTCTAGATGGTTTTTAGCACTATGAACAGAACTCTGCATCCCTTAAGCAGTAATTCCTAATACCCTCCAATAGCTTCTAGTAGCCATTGTTGTTGTTATGTGCTGTCGAGTCACCTGTGACTCATGGCGACCCTGTGTACAAGAGCTCTGAAGCCTAACCTGTCCTGAGCCAGTCTCGCTGACTCCAACACGCCAGCCCTCATTGCTCCTGTTACTGTATCAGTCCATCTCATCCAGGATCCTCTCTTGCTCTCTCCCTCCACCCTTCCAAGCATGATGTCCTTCTCCAAGGACTGGTCCATCCTGGTCACGTGCCCAAAGTATGTGGGATGGAGCTTCAAAATCCTAGCCTCCAAGGAGAAACTTGGTTTCACCCTCTCCAAGACAGTAGTAAATTTTATCTTTGTGCATCTGCCTATTCTAGATGTTTATGTGAGATTATAGCATAATTATCCTTTTGTGTCTGACTTATTTCATTCATTACCATGTGTTTAAGGTTTATCTGTGTTGTAGCACTTAGCAGAACTTGTCTTCGTTGCTGACTGTTCCATTGTGGGAATGTACCACATTTTCTTTATCCATTTAACTATTGATGGACACTTGAGGCTTTTCTCCTTTTTTTGGCTGTTTTAAGTAATGCTGCAGGGAAACTCGGGCCGGTCCCTGTTTGAGGTATGCACCTAGGACTGGAGTTACTGTATCATGAGAATTCTGTGTTAACTTTTTGAGGACATGCACAACTGTTCACAAGGACACCACCATTTTGCGTTCTCAGCAGCAGTGTATAAGGATTCCTAGTTTCTTAGGTTTTTGCCACCCCTTGTTATTTTCCTTTGTTCTGATAAAAGCCATCCTCGTCTATATGAAGTAGCTGCATGCCTTGTGGATTTACATATTTTTGGCTCATCATTTTGAACACCTTTGCTTGTGCTTATTTGCTACCTTCATATTTTAAGAAATATCTATTCAAGTCTTTAGTACAATTATTTACATATTTCTTCTCTCAAGACTAGGTTAGAAATAAGTTCATACAATTTGTCATTGAAAGGTTGATTTCTTTTTGTCTTTTAAAAAAACTATTTACATTGGTCTGCATCCAAAGTTTATATACATTGTGTTTCACACTGTCCTTCATTCACATTGTGTTTTATACAATTCTTCTCATTCAGTATGTTTTATAAAGTGAGTCATTATTGAACCATGCCTATCATTACCTGGTCCTTCCAGATCCCTGCCGGATCTTTCTCATTTCCTTTACCCACCGTACCCTCCACCCACCAAATTGGGGGACCCTATGATTTACTCCCTGCACAACCTCACCCCCTTTGTTGCATTACCATATATGTTTCATGAGTTATCTTTGTGTTTTTTATAATAATAATCGTACTGCAGCCTCCTATATAGTTTGAAGCTCAACATCAAGAAAACAAAGATTCTCACCACTGGGCCAATTGGCAGCATCAGTGTAGATGGTAAAGAGATTGAGATAGTTAACAGTTTTAGTTTACTTGGCTCCACAGTCAACACTCTTGGTAACAGCAGCCAGGAAATCAGGAGACGAATTGCATTGGGAAAGTCAGCTGTGAGGGACCTCTCAATAGTACTGAAGAGCAGTGATGTCGGGCTGGAGACTAAGGTGCACCTGATCCAGGCTATAGTCTTTGTAATTTCGTGCTATGCATCAGAGAGCTGGACAGTGAATAGGGATGATAGAGAATTGATGCCTTTGAGCTGTGGTGTTGGAGAAGAGTGTTGAATATACCATGGATTGCTAGGAGAACAAACAGGTTTGTCCTGGAGAAGGTGAAGCCAGAATGCTCCCTGGAGTCAAGGATTCAGAAGCTTTGTCTGACATACTTTGGGCATGTTGCAAGGAGGGACTGGTCCTTGGAGAGGGACATCATGTTTGGCAGAGTGGAGGGTTGGCGATGGAGAGGAAGACTTTCGATGAGATAGATGGATTGATTCTGTGACTGGAGTGGTGGGAATGAGTGTGTTTGAGATGGCTAGGTTGACACAGGATAGAACAGCGTTTAGAGCTCTTGTACATAGGGCCGCTGTAAGTCGCAAGCGACTTGATGGCACATAACAACAACAATCCTATGCAGTATTTGTCCTTGTGGAATTGAGTTAGTTCACTCAGCATGATGCCCTTCAGTTTCTCCCAAGCAGTAATTTTTTTAAATCATTGCTCCTGTGTGGTGTGTAGTATTACCCATTGTATCAATGTACCATGATTTCTCAACCCATTTGATTGTGGTTAGACATCTGGGCTCGTTCCACGTTCTTACGATGGTGCATAATACCGCAATGAACATTGGTGTACAAGTCTCCGTGCCTCAGGTTTCATTTTCTCGGGGTATATTCCAAACAGTGGAATAGCTGGGTCATATGGAATTTCTGTGTTTAGCTTTTCGAGGAAGCACCAAATTGTCTTCCAGAGTGGTTGTACCATTGTATAATCCCATCAACAATGTATGAGTTCCTATCTCTCTACATCCTCTCCAACATTTATGGCTTGTTGTGAAAGGTTGATTTTTAATGGCAGTATACTCTTTTGTTAGGAGGCAGGAGTGGCATCCACTTTCAAAATGGCTTGCCTCTGGAAAGTCTATAAACAGTGCTCAGGCCTTTTGTTCATAGGGTCGCTATGAGTTGTCTGTGACTTGATGGCACCCAGCAACAACATACTGTTGTGTATTTCTGCACTTTGTTTTTTTAAAAAAGTTTTTCAATCTTTTAAATAGTTCTGTAGTAATACATTTTCTTTGTATTTCCAATTTTCTCTTTGGGCTAAATGACTGGGAATGAGATTGCTGAGTTAGAGGCAGTGTTAGGGTTTATCAGGATTGTTGAGATGTATTTCCACACTCTCCTGGCAAAGTCTCGCTCTCACCATGTGTGGGATGTGAGGGAATCTACTCCCGTTTAGAGTCTTCTTCGTGGCTTTACTTTTGTCTTCCTTTTAACACAGTCTTCACTATGTAATGTTGTTGTTGTTTGATGCCGTCGAGTCGTAGATGACTCATAGCGACCCTATGAACGAACGGCCTGAGCACTGCACTGTTCGTACATAGAGTTTCTGGAGACAAGCCATTTTGGAAGTGGATGCCGCTCCTGCTTCCAGGCTTCATTTAGTCGAGAAGCTCCAGCCAACACTGTCCACCATGGGTGCCCATTACCACGATTGGCACATCCTGTCACAGTCTTCAGCATCACAGCAACCACGAGTTACCTTTGTATAGCAACGCACAGACCAGTGCTATACCACCTAGAAGAATGTTTGACAGGAAGACAGTTTGAACTACTTAGGTAGTACATTTTACTTTCTTTACCCCTGGTAAAATGTAAATTCTGGTGATGCAGGAAACTCTTGATTTCCTCTTTATTATTATATTTCAGTACCTTCAGAAGTGACTGGCATACAGCAGGGACTCAGTAACTGCTGGATGAATAGAGAAATGAATAAGGATATTGTCTGTTAGAACTTAGACTATCTCTTCTGACAGAAGAAGAATTTCTTTTTGATCTCAGTACTCGGAAAGCCTCTGCTTTTCCTGAGTCACTGGCACTTTTTTAATGGAGGGACCCTGTGAGTTTTAGGTACTTCTGTGTTTCATTTTTACTTTGGTTCTAGGAGCTTATAAATCTTTGCTGTTTGGCATACTAGCATTTTCTGTAAATTGCCATTTTTATGAAGTGACCTTACCTGTGGTTTTATCGTAGTTAGCGAGTTTTTCTAAGTTACCCTTTTTAATTTTAAAAAGCAAAGATTAAATAATTGAGACTTCAGTGACCCTTTGCTTTCTCTTTCAGGGAAGTACAGTCAACATGAACCTCATGGGCTGGCTGTATTCTCAGATGGAAGCTTCGTTGGGTTCTGCTGGTCACACAACGCTTGGAGTCACGCTTATGATCGGTCAGTGAGGACTCATGGCCCACGTCTGCTTTCTTCTGAAAATGTGTCACCAAAAACTTTGTGGCAGCGGGAAAAGAACACTAAATCAATGTTAGACCGCTTAATAGTTTTGCCTTCACAGCTCAATGATTATTTGCTTTAACTAGAAACAGCCTATCATTAGTTCTGTTTGTATTTTTATTCCTGCTTTTTTCAATTGGAGGAACTTACTCTGATTGTCTGTTTCGGCATTGTTATGAGAAAATGAGATAGTGTATGTGAATACTCACTGCACGTAGTCTTGGAATTTGTAAATTAATCATCTATAGCAAAAGTTAGAATTCCTTTTGTGGTCAATTTCTGTCAGTAGCCATATAAAGCTTGAGTCTCATAAAAGGCCTGCTCTTGTTCTGGGCCACGAAGTTGGAACCGACTGAGCTCATCATCCAGCAGGAGTTCAGAGGCTGTAAATCGTAAGGGAGGAGATGGCTCGTCTTTCTCCCATGAAGCAGCTGGTGGATTTGAACCGCATGCACTTGGGTTCGAGCAGAACTTCTAACCACAAAGCCACCTGAATCCTGTGTAAAAGTTTAAGTGATAGGTTATGATTGAGTCAGAAGCTTGAGTTCCAATTCTGGCTTGAACTGGTTCTGTGATATTAGACAAGGACGTGACTCTTCCTGAAGCTTAGGTGTCTCTTATATCAAATTGAAGATGTTTAACCCAAAACTGTGATGATGCCCTGTCCCGGAGTTCATTTGTATTAGTTCCTGAGTAAGACGCAGAAGTGCATGAGGCCTGCTACACCACTTGTGCTTTTTCTCTCAACATTGAACTTTTTAAAAAGCTCTGTATGTAAACATTTCTCTGCAGAGCCCTAGAAATACCTGTTGTTAAAGAAAGCTCTGTGTCCAGGATTAGTGTAGCCTGTGTTCTGGCTAATCCTTTGCTATCAGCCCTGTAGAAAGTGTAGAGAGGTAATCCTAAAAGGCTGACTTGTACCAAAGGACTCCTCAGTTTTCCCTCATCCTTTTCACATCCTTTGTCTTACTTAAAGTCTTCATTTTAACTCTCAGATGCATCTCTGTATTCTGTCTTGATTCCCTTTACAATGGAGAACTTTAGAATTTTTAAGCCAGGAAGAGACCTGAATCATCAGAAAATCAGTCCCTTATTTTACACATGGAGAAGTTGGCAACCAGAAAGGTTGGATTTTGCATGTAAGACCATTCGGCTCTTTAGCTCCAGAACTAGAACATCTCATTTCAGTGAGTTTCACCCAGACTGTGTTATGTCAACCACAGGAAGGCCCATATACAGCCTTCCTTTAACAATTCTTAGGAAGGATAAACTTACTCACTGTTCATTGGGATTGACTTTAGTGATGTGAGGTCACTATGAATGAGTAATGCTGAGTGATAAGCAAAGGAAATGAGCCCGAGAGCTGTGCTGAATAGGATGGAGCCCTGAGGGCTGCCGGGAGGGAGGAGCGAAGGTTACAGCCACTCTTCATGATGAAGCAGAAGGCAGAAAAGATAGAGAATCTGACTTTTTAAAAGACTTCCTCTGGCATCTGTAGGTAATTGACTTAAAATAGTGTTGACAAAAGGAAGGCTGATTTCTTAGCCTCCCTCAGGCTGTTTTCTAGGACGAGGCTAGTTTGTTTTGTTCTCTTCCTTCTTTATTCTCCAACCATCTTGTAGCAATAAAACCAGAAAACTAAACCTTTTACAGTTAGTTTGCTTTCATTGCATGGCGACACTATAGGACAGGGTAGAACCGGCACATGGGGTTTCCAGAACTGCTGTCTTAGTGGAAGTAGACTGTCACATCTCCCACAGAGGGGCTGCTGAGCTTGAACCTCTGACCTTTTAGTTCACAAAGCCGTGATTAACCACTGCACCACCAGCACTCTGTAGAGTCTGCCATTTGCGTGCTTACCTGGTGGGCTTCCTCTCTCTCCAGTTGGAGGCTTTGCCGTCCCCCTCGGTTGCCACGTTTTCTGCTCTTTCTGCCACGTGTTGCTTTGTGCGTGCTGCCCTGTCTATGTTGTTCTGTCTGACTGTTTCTGCGTCTCCTTTTGAATTACAGGAGGAATAACGTGTATCCTCTCACTCCTCTGTGCCTTGGCTCTTGGGTACTTGGATCAGAGGGCAGAAAGAATCCTTCATAAAGAGCAAGGAAAAACAGGTGAGTCTGAAACCCAAACCCTAAAACCTGAACAAAGCTCGTGGGAGAATTTCAGCCTTTTTGAGGTGATTTAGTGTGAAATAAGTTTCTAAGGCAAAGTTTTAAACCCAGTGGGGACTTAATACATGCTTTTTACTTTTATTTGTAATTTCTAGTTTTAGTTGTCTAAATTTTCTCCATAAAATGTGTGTAGCAGTACGCTGTATCCGTTGATCTCCATAAAATGTGTGTAGCAATACGCTGTATCCATTGAAGTTATATATTTGCAGAACTACGTATTTCCCTGGGAGAGGTAGATACAAATCTTTGGTTCCATTTTCTTTTGCTCATGTATTTTCTTTTTAAAAGTTTTGTTGTGGTAAAAATAGAATAAACATTTGCCTAAAAACCATTTTTTTTGTGTGTGAACGAAGTGATGATAATTGCATGTATCTTGTGATGGAGTTATCACCATCATCTGTTTCCAGTGTTCAGCATCACCCTAGGTAACCACTGGTCTGCCGGCTTCTTACAGGGGCTGCCAGAGCTCCCTTAAATTAGCTCTGCCGTCCCCTCTTGCCAGCCTTGGTAACCACTAATAATTTTTTTTTCTCTATGAATTATCCAGTTCTAGATATTTTACCTAAGTAGAATTAGAGCAGTTGTTATTTTGTCTTATGTCACTGTTGGTGGTGGTGATTGTTGTGTACTAACAAGTTGGAGCTGACGCATAGCTGACCCTCTTAATAAAGGAGTCTGGTGACCTAGAGGATAAGGAGTTGCCGACACAAAAGGAATATGGTTCGACGTGCCAACCCAAAGGTAGATGGTTTGAATTGGCCAGCTGCTCGGTGGGAGAAAGGTGGACAGTCTCGTCCCGTGTAATCTGCTGCCTCTGAAAACCAGGTGGAGGGGCAGCTGTGAGTCTGTCCTGATCGGACACTATAAAACAACAGTGTATTCCATTGTGTGTGTATGTATGTGTACACACCCCCCCACACATCACACTCTGCTTGTCTACTCATCTGTTGATGGACATTGGGTGTTTCCACATTTTGACAGTATGGGTAAGTTTTAATGAACATTGGAATACTAAATCTAGTTGAGTCCCTGCTGTAATGAACATTGGTATAAAGTATCTATTTTGAGTTCCTTCTGTAATGAACATTGGTATGCTGTACCTGTTTTGAGTTCCTGCTGCTTGCATTTTTTTTTTTTTTTGAGACATTGTTTTAGGAGTGAAATTCTTGGTCATACTGTACTTTCTGATGAATCATTTATATCCTGACTAGCAGTGTACAAGGATTCCAGTTTCTCTGTAGCTTCACAAACACCTGTTCTCCATTTTTCTGAAAATAGCCAGCCTAGTGGGCTTAATGTAGTACAGCACTGTGGGCTTCTATGACTTTTTTTTTTTTTTAATTTTAATTGTACAAAATCTAAGTGTTACAGTTCTTTGTGGTTTTGATCTGTATTTCTTGAATCATTGATTACATTGTGTATCTTTTCATGTGCTGCTTTGATGTTTGCATTTCTTCAGTGGAGAAGTTTTTTGCTCTTTTTTTTTCATTCACATTATGTTTCTTATGATCATTCCTGTTTATTGTTTCTTATAAAATTAGTAACCATTGATCTGTGGCTTCTTTTACACCATCATTTTAGTTCCCCACTGAGCGATCCTTCCTAATTTCTGCACCCCTCCCTCCACCACCAAACTCTGTGACCCTGTGATTTTCTCCTAGCACCCTCATCCTTCCTGCCCCCTCCCCTGCCCTCTTTGGATGTCCACACGCATCTTACTAGTTCTGTTTTATAATGATGGTCATATGCAGTATTTAGACTGAGGAGCCTGAGTACCTTCACTCAGCATAATGCTCTCCAGCCTCTCCCATGTTATACAGTGTTTTTTGAAATTGTTGCTCCTGTGTGTTGCATAGTATCCCATCGTGTGAATGTACCCCAATTTCTCAATCCATTCGTTTGTTGTTGGGCATGTGGGCTGTTTCCATATCCTTGTTATTGTGAGTAATGCTGCTTTGAACATTGGTGTACAGATCTCCATTTGTGCCTCAGTTCTGTTTTCCTCAAGGTATATTCCTAGCAGTGGAATAGTTTTACCCATTTAAAAAAAAATTCTTTTTAATGATTTCTCTCCTCTCAAAATAATCATTCGAGCACGTTGTGTCCCACAACACCAATTATAATATGCACCATTAGTCCTTTGGCTTTTGAAGGAACTGTATGTCACTGAATTAAACAGAGAAAAGAGTTTTTAAGGTGAATGGCAGAGGTTAATCACGTTATAGAAACCTGTTCTTAACTAGATAAAGTTCTTTGGTGTATGGAATGATGCAGGTGGTGTCGCCTCTTTCTTCTCTAAGGGGAGGTGATTAAGTTGACGGATGTGAAGGACTTCTCCTTACCGCTGTGGCTCATCTTTATCATCTGTGTCTGCTATTACGTGGCGGTGTTCCCTTTCATTGGACTTGGGAAGTGAGTATCCTGCTGCATTCCATTTCGGAGGGATATACTGTAACGAGGGTTCAGTCATACAAATGACGTTACTGCATGCGGGTCTCATCCATCCAGCTTTTAGCAGGAGGTTATTGGGCCGACTCCTCTTGTGCAGTTCTCGACCTGGAGACCCATTGGAGGCTCAGCTGTGAGCAGTTTCTAACTTGGTGGCAGTGAATCGATTTGCATATCGTTTCTTTAAACCTGGGGATTGTTTTTCATGTGCAGTTTAACTCATCTTCCTAATTGGAGATTAAGTGTTGGGGGTTTGATAGCCTAGTGGATGAGATGTGCTGCCTGCCAGCCCAAAGGGGGGCAGTTCGAATCCACCGTAGGATAAAGTTGAACAATCTCCTCCTGTGATTTTACAGCCTCTGAAAACCTGTTGAGGGTTCAGCTAAGTCGGTTCTGACTTGGCAGCATGAATGAGTGAAAGAAGAAATGCCCAGTAGCTTTTTGAGTCACAATATTGATTTGTTTTGTAGTTAATTTGGGACTGGTATTTTTTTTCCTTCTCTTTGCTTCTCAGTTAGAGAACCTCAGGTAGAAAGGAGATGAAGGTTTTCACTTTGTCTTGGTGAGCGATGATGAGGGCATCTCTAGACAATAGGATTGTAATTCTGCAAGACATAAGTGTAGAGTTCAAAGTTACCTGCTTGGCTTTATCTTTTAATTTCCTCTTCATTTTCACAAAACCAGCAGCATGTGTATATAGTGTATGTGAGTGTTTGTTGTTCGGTGCAGTCAAGTCGAGCAGGGCTCATAGTGACCCTATGAACAAAAGACCTGAACCCTGTTCTGTCCTGCGCCATCCTCACACTTCCTGACACACGAGAGCCCATTGAAGCAGTCACCGTGTCAGTCCACCTGGTTGAGGGTCTTCCTCTCCTTTACTGACCCTCCACCCTTTCCAGCTTCATGTCCTTCTCCAAGAAAGAGCACGTTCTAGCAACATGTTCAAAGTACATGAGGTGAAGCCTCATCATTCTTGTCTCCAAAGAGCACTTCAGCTGCAGCCTGTCCAAGAAATATCTCTTGTTCTCGTCAATTCTATTTCTCTTATCTTTATTGATTGTTCAGCTCTGCGATTAGCTAGTAATCAGAAAGACTGTGGTCTGAATTAGACACATCTTAGTCCTCCAACTGACATCACTACTCCTCAATAATTTGGAGAGATCCCTAACTGCAGATTTTCCCAGTGCAGTGCGTCTCCTTATTTCCTGACAAAGGGTGTTAAATATTGATCCAAGTATGATGAAACTGTTGACAGTTTCAGTCTCCTTTCCATCCATCATGATGCTGTCTCTTGGTCTTGGTCCTTTGTTTTCTTGACATTAAGATGCAATCCATACTGAAGGCTGCATTCCTTAATCTACTGCAATAAGTGTTTCAAGCCCTCCTCACTTTCAGTGAGCAAGACTGTGTCATCTGCATAAAGCAGGTTATTGATGAGTCTCCCTCCAATCCTGATGACACATTCCTCCTCATAGAGTCCAGCTTCTTGGATAATTTGCCCAGCATACAGATTGAATTGGTCTGGAGAGAGAATACAACTCTGGTACACTCCCTTCCCACTTCTAAAACATGCAATATTTAAATAAATTCTATTTGTGATTTTAAATACTTCAAGACAAGAACTGTAGTATTCAGAGAACTTTTTAAGTATCTCTTTGAAGGGAAAGAAACAAGTCTTAATTCTCTATAATAATACACCTAGAGTTCTGAAAATTTATATGTTGTGTTTTTGTTTTAGAAGATAAAGAAGGGAAAAACAGGTAACAGGATGCTTTTATTTAGTTAAATAGAGCACTAAGGTTTTAGTAGGCCACTGAAAATGAATATAAAAAAATAAGGGAAAGGATAAGAAGAAAGAAAAGTTTATTAAACTTGGACTTATTTTTAGTTGGTTTTGTTTTAGCCTTTAATTTTGAAAATATTTCTGAAATTTTGAAAATAAATTGAGTAGTTTCCTGTCAGTACTTAATTCTCTCTCTCTTTCAATTTTTAGAGTGTTCTTTATGGAGAAATTTAAATTTTCCTCCCAGGCAGCAAGTGCAATTAACAGGTACTTCAATAATTCTTTAAGTATTTATTGCATGCATTGTGGGGTCTTTAATTATAATCCTGTGTTAAAAGAGGCAAAGAAAGTATTTGATCACCACACTATGAATGAAATCCCAGATGATCTGGGGACTGGAATCCTGGTTGACTGTCTTTGTACTAATGGAAAGTCACAGAAACATTGTATCACACTTGCTGTTTTACATTCAGTTTTACTACTGACTGGGAATGGAGACCATTTTCAGAGAATATTCAGTTGGATGAGTTAGAGTTTGTTTTGTGGGACTGTGGGATTGTGAAAAAATGTGTCCCTGTTGTGTTTCCTTAACTATTTAATCTGTCCCCGGGCAGTGTGGTGTATATCATATCTGCTCCCCTGTCCCCAGTGTTTGGGCTTCTGGTGGATAAAACAGGGAAGAACATCATCTGGGTTCTGTGTGCCGTGGCGATCACGCTGGTCTCCCACATGCTGTTGGCCTTTACGCTGTGGAACCCCTGGATTGCTATGGTAACGTACACCTGGGTGGTGTGAGGGCCGTGCTAGAAAAGTGGGGAAGAAAAGCAATTCTCATGCCTTTCGAACAATTATTTTAAATGTCTCCATTTAAATTAGTAATACTTAAGACATCTTTTATTTCACTTGGCTTACTTAAGCTAAACTCAGTTGTAATAAAATCATCTAATTAAGGCCAAAGTTCTTATTTTCATTTTCCCTTCCTGTATGTCATTAAAAAGAAGCCATTTGGTTGGGTGAGTTCAAGTGGAGTACGATTCACGGTGACCTTATGAAAACAGAACTGAAGCCTGCCCTGTGCGGTGCCAGCCTGGTCTCTGACACCCTCCATTCCATTGCTGCAGTCACTGTGTCAGAGAGTTCTCCTCTGTGATAGGTAGCCAAAAAACCCCAAAACAACCAACCCCCAAAGAGCCTAATACCTGTGATTTTGTATTCTTTCCTTTCTGCTCTTAGTAGATTAAAAAACTGGTGTTGCATGAAACCAGTTAGTGTTAAAAATGTTATTTTTAAGAGCACTAGGCTGATAAGCTAGCTGCATTTCTTACCTGAAAGAGATTTCTTTGAACAAACATCGTTGTGCATTTAGTGAGAATTTCCATAGGACAATTGCTAGGTGAAACTGCCCCTTTAATAATTGTATCTTTTAAAATTTATTTTAAATTGATTTTAATGAAAGTTTACAGAGATTTTGGATTTCCATTCATTCACTGTTGCACTTTTCTCCCTGCTCACCCCTCCCCCTCAATTAGCTTTTCTTTTTGAAAAGTAAAAGAAAAAATTCTTTCATTGTTATTCAGTCCCTCCCCCCAAGTCCACTCCACTATGCTACCTTTGTTCTGGACTCCTGCCGTAACAATAATAGCTCATCACATATCCTTTTTAAACAGTTCTCTGCCTCATCTGTTTCAGTGCCGTGTACATTATTTATACCATCTTTCTCAGTCTCCCCCCAACCCCTATGTCAGTCCTCTTTTATAACAGTAGCATTATGTCATATTTGTCTTTTTTGTGACTGAGATATTTCAGTTAGCATAATGTCCTCAGGGGTCACCCATTTTGTGTAATATTTCATGAGTTCCTTGTTTTTCGCTGCCATGTAGTATTCCATTGTGTTTGTCAGAATAACATTCAGATTAAATGCAAGGAGACATCATTCAGCAATTGAAAAGTGTGTACAGTCAACTAACACTAAGTGATGCTGTAGAAGGCAGGAGTGTGACTTAGTTCTTACCAAAACATCACAATGTTATTTTGTGTTCAGACGTTGAGATGAAGTGAGGAACATCTACATATGTTGTCGTATGTGCCTTCGAGTTGCCTAGACTCCTAGCGCCCTGAGCACAACAGCTCGGAACCTGCTCCATCCTGAGCCAGCCTCGCCGACACGGGCACACCTAGTCCCATTGCCCCAGCTGCCAGGTCTATCTATTTCAGTAAGGGTCTTACTCCCCGGAATATTAAAGCCCTCTTTTATTTTTAATTATCAGCCAAAAGATCTAGGAAAAAAAGGAAACTAGTAATTCATTGTCTCTACTAATTCCTAAATTGTTAGAATGACAATAATTTAACAGAAATGGTGATGATAAATAGTGTTAAAACTCAAAAATTTGCTAAAATTTTCACATTTTTTAAACATAATATTGTTCTAAACACATTTACTTTTTAATAAATGTATTATTAATTAAAAAATGTATTTTATTTAATTACTTCACTAAAAATCTACAGAAGGTGTCCTTGACATATTGGCTATTGACCGTATTTTAACTTTTGCTTATATGATAGGTATAAGTGATACCTTCTTTTTATTTAAATCAGGAATTTTTAAATTGAAGAATAAGCATTAGATGACGTTATTAGGTGGTTGATGATGTTGGCTCTGCGTCTTGCTATCTAGGTTTCTGTTAATGACCTAGAAATAAGTTAGTTAGAGCATTATTAGCATGATGTCCTGGTTCCTTCATTTGTAATTCCTAACAACTTCTAAAGGACTGGCTTTCCTGAAACTTTTTGCAAATTAACTTTATTATCTTCTTGGCCCTTGAATGCACTCTGTATCCAAGCCAGCTTGTAACATGTGATGAAAATGGTTAAATAAGTGTGTATTGACTCACTAGATGTACACTTGGAGTGAGGGTCAGGATATCTATGTGTTTTGGATAAAAGTTCTACCTTAATTATAAAAAAAAAACTCACCCCAACCCAAAAAATCCCTTACATCGTTATTCAGCATTAACTATTAAGCCACTCTTGCTGCAGCAAAGCGGGGGGAAAGTCACCTTTTGCTCAGTGTAAGAGCTCATTTCCATTCCCCTTCTTGTCTAGTGTCTTCTGGGAGTCTCCTATTCATTGCTTGCCTGCGCGTTGTGGCCAATGGTGGCCTATGTTGTTCCTGAGCATCAGCTGGGGACTGCATACGGCTTGTAAGTATTTGCACCTTCGTGTTTCTATGGTGGAGAGAGACTGGGGGCAGGGAGGCATCGGTTCTGATTCTCCTAGTAGGAAGGAAAAGGGTGAGAGTGAAGACGGGTCACCCTCGGCCACTCAGTTTGTTTTGACCTGTAGAGACCCGAGAAGGAAGAGAAAAATAGTTTGTATGGTTTTAAGACTAAATATTTTCGCATGCAGACTGTCCTGTCTATGGACGGGTGTGTTCAGTCTGTGTCAGGGCAGGAAGGAGCTGTCCCTGCTGACTCCTGGGCTGCTCAGACTCCTAAGAGGACAAGCAGGCTTACTCTCTTCATCTCAAGTGTTTGTCTGCTTCCCTGGAACTGAGATTATCAGGGCCCTAAGTCTTTGTATCAAAAGTAAATTCTCTTTTATGTTACTTTTTTTCTCCTCACCTAGTGGTCAGTAATCAAGAATATGTTAAGAGAAATTACTATTCTGAAGGGTTTGTTTCAATTCAGCCAGATAACAAATGACTTTAGAAAGTGACTGCCCTGCCATTATGTCCCAGTTCCTTTATAGTTTGAGTTTTTATTTTCCTGTAATTAAAAGGCTTCCTTATTCCTCAGAAGTCTTCCTTTGAAAATGCGGTCTAATAATACATGGTTCTTATGTCACTAAACTCACTGCCATTGAGTTGATTCCAATCCCTAGAGGTGCTTAGGACACTAGGACCCTGGAGGATTTCCAGGACTGTCAGTCTCTGCAGGCAAAGACCTCCCATCTCTGTCCCAAGGAGCAGCTGTGATGGGTTCAAACCTTCGACCTTGTGGTTAGCACATGGACTCTTTGGCCAGTGCTCTCTACCTGGGTGCCTCTTCTATGAATTAAAGAAAAACCCCGCAAAACCAAACAGCAGCCCAACTCATTTGTGTTGACTTGATGTAACTCACAGTGACCCTCCGTTGTGTTTGTGAAGTTGTAATAATGAGAAGATAGGGCCCCTCTTTCTCTCTTGGGGCTGTTTGTAGATTCAGCTGCCAGAGAAGCCTGGCTATCAGGTTAGCAGCTCAGCTCACCTCCAGACACACACACAGCGTTCTTCCTCTGTCGTCACCATCCTGAACATTGAGTAAAGTAACTGTGTCTTACAGTACAGTGTGTGTATGGAGAATCCTGACTGTGGACTTCGGCCTTGTTTGTTCAATTGCAGCATGCAGTCCATTCAGAACTTAGGGCTGGCCGTCGTCGCCATCATTGCTGGCCTGATCCTGGATACACGGGGATATTTATTCTTAGAAGTTTTTTTCATAGCCTGTGTTTCTAGTAAGTATGCTGGATGCCAATGTTTTGTTTCATTTGTTATGTCATGAAATGTTCTCATTTTTTTACCTTTAGGTTTTCTTTTTCTTTTTTTTCACAGCTTTATAACTTTGTTTGATAATCAGCGATTTGTTTTCATCCACATTGATGGTCTGTAGATTTATTAAAGTGGTGACAGGTGCATAGGTAACCAGTGTAAACAGCTTTTTTGGAATCTTCATCCTCGTGACATTTTCTGGGCAGCCGTGCATAGACGTGGTGTGGGCCATCCCTCATTCCTTCCGTGCAGAAAGCTTTGTTAAGCCTGGTGTCAGTGTGAACATCTGGCGTTCTCATCTCCTTCATGGCAAATTTCTGCATTTCCTTGCGTGCCCAAGGCGCACGCTTCCTAAAGCCCACTCTGTGGATGTGCTTGTGAATGTTGATGGTGACTCTGGTCACCACGTCGTTGATGGCAGAAAGGCTCCCTTCTGTGCGGGGGCCTGAGCACCGGGACAGGCTGGAAAGGAAGCTTTAATGTTCTTTTTAACATCTCGTTAAGTGAGATCCCAAGATGAATCTCTCTGTGTTACCTCATTTGTACCTAGGGGCTTGGCTTCCCCTCCAGCAGATTTTTAGTTTTCTGAGGATTCACAGAGTTTTGTGATTCCTGTCCTTAAGAGCAAGCAGAAATTCTGCTTCATTGTCTGTTTTAAATATTTAAGGTTTTTAAAAAACATTTTCACTTTTAACGTGGAACTACTGAAGCGTTCTTAGTGTCACTGTGGACATTGGTGCATTTTACATGTGAATACTCGGGGTTCATAGACATCTTCTGATTGCTTTTGGCCTTAGTTCTCTTGTTTAATATCAGGGTCCACTGGTTAAAATTGGGGAGCATTAGAGAACTCTTGAAGTAGGATAAAAGTAAAGCAACGGTTAAAAAAAAATTGTTTTCAATACAAACGTGAATTGTGTCCATTTAAAAAAAAAACACATTTACCCTTCAATAACACAAGATAGTAGCCACAGTGATGCTGTGAAAGCAATGATCATCCTTTACAAGGAAGAGACTGCACTTAAAGTCTTCATTTTCGAAATGGGCAGATCAGATTTAAAGGAGACATACTCTGTTATTAGAAAGCAAATTCTGGAGGAATACAAAACTTTAGGTCATCAAAGTGTTTTGAGGTTGTTTTTTTAAAGTGTTCTTTTTTTAAAGCTTATATTATAAAACATAGCTGAATTGTAAATCACATGTCAGTGTATATTTGGTTCTAATGGCCGACGCTGTGCCGTTGAAAATGTCTTTTCAGCGATATTAATTGACTGTAAATAAGCACTATGCCAAACTTAAATGAAAAAGCCAAGCAGCTGGCGTTCAGAGATCTTCCCGGCCCTGGGGTTCTAGGAGGCAAACGACCATATTCTTATGGTTGGTTATTTCATGTAAAGGTGGATGTGGTCTTCTCCAAACCTGAACTCCCTAAAGGACTGCTTCTGTTGGCTTTTCTCTAAATAGTGGTTTGGGGCCAGTGTACAGAAGGAGCAGCTTTAGAGGGAGCGGGGAGTTTGGGGGTGGCATGTGGTCCACTGCCTCTCTTCTGGGACCTCACTCAGATATGCTGGTCCTGGTCCTGCCACCTTCAGTCTCAAGTAGACCGTAGAGAATAGGATTTGCATCTTATTTTTATTGCTTTCAGAGAATAGAAATAATGTAAAGTGTTTATTCTAAATGCTTTAGGAAGGGTTCCATTGTGCCTGACCTTTCCTTTGTAATTACGGTACGTAGGCGTCGTTGAGGAGGAAGATACACCTATGTTTTTCTTTTCCTCTTTAGTGTCACTTTTGTCTGTGGTCTTCCTCTATTTGGTGAATCGTGCCCGTGGTAAGTACAGATTCAGTTGTATCTTCTCAAACCCCCGAGGCTCATCTTGTGGGGAGCCCTCTTTGGAGGCCACCACTTTAGCTCATGGGATACAGATACTTCTTCATAGAGGTGGAAACACATTTAATTACGTAACTTGTATGTGGGACCTGCGTGTTGATCAAGATCATTGCCTCCTCCTGGCTGTTTCAGTGTGAATGCTGTAGTTTGACATTTATGTTTTTATATTCTCATAAAAATCCCAAAGACACACAGTTCACATCCACCCGCCGCTCCCAGGGGGACAGATGAGCAGCCCCCTCGTGTGCATTAATGTCCCTGCAAACCTGCTGGGGGGTCAGTCAGCTGAGCAGTTCTGATTGGATGGTGCGGCGGCAGCCGTGTATCCAGAGTCCCTCTGGTGTTCTTATTTTCAGAATAAGGAATAATCAAGGATGTGCTTGTGAATGTTGATGGTGACTCTGGTCACTACTAAAGGATGTTGATACTTCTTATTCACTGCCTGTGACTTGATTCTGACTCCTGGGCACTTTTTGTGGTGTGTGTAGAGCAGAGCTGTCAGATAGGAAGATGCCGTGCTCACCACTGTACCCCCCGTGTGGCATGTGAACTGTCAGAGAGGAAGGCAGCTGTGCTCACCACTCTACCACCAGCACAACATGTGGGCTGTTAGAGAGGAAGGTGCCATCCTCACTATAGCACCAGCGCGGCATGTGAGCTGTCAGAGGAAGGTGCCATCCTCACCAGTACACCACCAATTCAACACATGAGCTGTCAGATAGGAAGGTACCATCCTCACCAGAATACCACCAATTCAACACATGAGCTACCAGAGGAAGGTGCCATCCTCACCACTCTACCACCAGCATGGCGTGTGAGCTGTCAGAGAGGAAGATGCCGTGCTCACCACTGTACCACCAGCGTGGCATGTGAGCTGTCAAGATAGGGAGGCAGCTGCGCTCACCACTCTACCACCAGCGCAGTACATGAGCTAGCAGATAGGAAGGTGCCGTGCTCACCACTATACCAGCAGCGCAGCATGTGAGTTGCCAGATAGGATTTCCAGGCTGTCACTTTCCGAGGCCGCTCTCCAGGTTTCTTACCCAGCTGCCTTTGAGTGGGTCCCAAGGGCCAGGCTTTCAGCTGCTAGTTGAACATCTGTAAGTATCTGTGCTGCACAGAGACCTTCCTGTTAGTTAGCAGAGTGCGGCACAGTTGCTGTTTAAATTCTTTTTTGGGCAGTGCTTTTAATTTTCTGTTTAATCGAAACAGATTCTCAGTTAGCTGAGGGTCAGATAGCTGACCCTTTAGATATTTTTCAGAGACTAAACAGCTCAGGAGGAGAGTTTTCGTATTTCTCTCATGGAGTTACTGGTGGATTTGAGCCAACTACCTTTGGATTGAGAGTGCAGCTCCCTATCCACTAGGCCAGCAGAGCTCCTTATTTTCCTTATTACTGTGCTTATGTACGGTGGAGTTGAAGTGACTCATAGCTGATGCTCCAGCAGGTTTTCAGAGGCAGTAAATTCCTTCCCCATCCTTCTCCCGCGGAGCAGCTGATGGATTTGAACCGCGTCTTCAGGTTGACAATGCAGTGTCTTATCACTACGCTACCAGGGCTGTGTCCTACTTAATAAAATCAGAGGCAGTATATAAGTCCAATGGGAAAGGGGAAGCTAGAACTAAGGGATGAGTAGTTGTTTCACATAAAGAGTCTTTGCTTAAAATAATTTCTTTTTTAGAAGGGTCAAGTATATAAACCAATTCCTTTTCATATTTTATAGCTTTTTCTGTTACTTAAAATAAGAAATAAAATGATATCTGTGGAAAAGTTTATAGAAACCTAACAAGACGACGATTAAGTGCTTGATTAGTAACCAAAAGCTTGGCGGTTTGAGTCCACGGTGTCTTTGTGGGAGGAAAGGCCTGCTCATCTGTACTCTTAGAGATTGGAGCCCAGGAAAAAACCTTCCAGGCAGTTGTGCTCTGCCTCGTGGGGAAAACGCGAGCATAACTGACTCAGCAAACGCCAAACACACAAATGACTCTATATTTGAACTTGACAGTTTTAGTGCTTATATTGAAAAGATTCCATGCTTGTTTGTGTTTTAGGTGGGAACTTAAATTATTCTGCAAAACAAAGGGAAGAAATGAAGCTTTCTCATACTGAGTAAGTATTAAAAAAGGAAAATAGTGTGTATTTTAAAAATTTTATAGGCCAGAATTTTCTATTAAGGACTTAGGGCTTGGGTTTTTTTCATTCATTTTTATGAGCTAACAATTATTCCTGTGTGACAATCCATTGTCTTCTATGAGAGAGAACTCTTATATTTGTAATTAATTGGGGGAAAAGGTCTCTGCCATGCTCCTGTGCTGCTTACTCCTCCACTCCCTCTGGTATTTTCCTTTCTTTGTTGTTAGGTGCCATGAATGTCCTCCCCAGCCGATGCGAGACCAGAATGCAAAGCCTTACCTAGGTCCCTACCACTTTGACACTTGTTTTCTTTGAACCTGTGGCAGCAACTCTGTGTCAGGCTTTAGCAGTTGAGTTGTTGTTTGATTTTCTGGTATGCTGTCCTCTGTTATCTAACTCCTTTGGAACATAAGGAAATACAGGATGTGAGATTTAAATTAATTTTAAGTTAAGTGTCTTGTTAATTCATGACTCAAATGCAGAAGTCAAATGCAATTTTCCAACTACCAAAAGGATTGGTAGTTGGAAAATTGGAATGTGGTAAATAAGGCTAGAGATTGAATTTTATACATTCAATGATTTATTCCAATCCATAATTGAGGACTATTTATGATAGACGTGACCTCACCAGATGGACTATGCAGAAATCAGAATGACTATACCTTGGAAAGATTCGATGGAGAGCCTTAAAACCAGTGGTCAAAACATGGCCAGTGCTGACTGTATCCGTTACTCAAGTGCAAGTTCTGATTGAAGTTAAGGGAAATGGAAACATGCCCATGCGAACCAAGATACAATCTTGAGTCTATCCCATCTGAATTTTACAACTATCTCAAGGACAGATTTGATGCATTGAACTGTGGACATCATCCATGAGGAAAATTGAAAGGTCTTTACAAAGACCACAAAGAAAGAAAAGAACAAACTGATTGCAGGAGAGACTCAGAAACTTGCACTCGAATGTAGAAGAGGCTAAAACAAAGGAAAGAAATGCTGAAGTATGAAAGAGGAACAGATTTAAAAGGGTAGCTCAAGAAGATAAAGAAAAGTATTATTTGTGAAGAGCTGTCCTGTTCAACTTTGCCACTCTTACTGGAGTAAGGTTTTGATTTGTGGTTTTGATTTGCATCCCTCTTATTGCCAGTGATTTGGCGCAGTTCTTTCTATGTCTGTTGGCCATTTGAATATCTTCCTCTGTGAATTCTTTCCATGTCTTTTGCTCATTTTGTAATTGGGTTATCAGTCTTTTTCTCGTGGAGGCCCAGGAGTATTCTATAAACTTTTGTTATGAGACTCTTGTCTGAGATGGTATTGCCAAATGTTTGTTCCCAGCCTGTAGGTTTTCTTTTCACCCTGTTGGAAAAATGTTTTTGACGAACACAGGGATTTAATCTTTAGAAGGTCCCTCCCATTCATCAGTTTTATCCTCTTCAGATTGTGCATTTCTGACTTTATTTTGCAGTCTCTTTATACCATAGAGTAGGGCTTCTAAGCTTGATCCTAATTTGTCTTTTATGAACTTTATGGTTTTGGGCTTTACTCACAAGTCTCTTACCCACCTTGAGGTGATTTTTGTGTATGGCATGAGATGTAGAACCTGTTTCAGCTTTCTGTAGGTAGCAGTCCAGTGTTGCGAGCACCATTTGTTGAAGAGGTTGTCATTTCCCAATTGAAGCCTTTATTTCCTTGTTGAATATTAGTTGACCATATATAGCTGGGTCTCTTTCTGGGTTCTCAGTTATATGTTCCACTGCTCTGTGTGCCTGCCGTTGTACCAAATGTTGGAGAGGATGTGGTGAGATAGGAACTCTTTTACATTGTTGATGGCACTGTACAGTGGCACAACCACTCTGGAAGGCAGTTTGGTGCTTCCTCAAAAATCTGAACATAGAAATTCCATATGACCCAGCTGTTTCATCACTTGGAATATACTCCAAGAAAACGAGAACTGAGGCTCAAATGGAAACTTGTACACCAATGTTCATAGCAGCATTAGTCACCATTGCAAGAATATGGAAATAGCCCAGATGTCCAACCAAAAATGAATGGATGGAGAAGTTGTGGTACATTCATACAATGCAATACCACACATCACGCAGCAGCAATCATTTTGTAAATTACTACCTAACTTGAGAGGGACTGGAGAGCCTTATGCTGAGTACACTAACTCAGTCCCACAAAGACAAATACTTTATAAAACCGTTATTGTGGAATGAGTAGGAAGATCCTAGGTGGGGGGAGGGGAGGGTCGAAATAGAGGTGAGGATGGGTGGGGGGTGTTAGGGAGTTAATTATAAGATTGCATAATTGGGTGTGTGGGTGGGGTGAAGAAAATGGGAAGGATCTTTTGTGAAAAACAATGTATTCAAACTTTGTAAATAAATCAGAATAGAACAACACCCATAAGACAATGCACGGAAATTATTGTATAAAACTAAACGTATGTGAATGAAACAGTGTATATGAATACTGTATAAAAGTGAATGATGGTATGAATATTAATAGATTTTAAAAAATTTTAAAAATTATGAAGAACTGGAGTTAAAAAAACAAGGTGGAAGAACATACTTGGCATTTCTCAAGCTGAAAGAACTGAAGAACAAATTTAACCTCTGAGTTACAATCAGAAGCAGAATGCCGAATGATGCAGGAAGTATCAAAAGAAGATGGAAGTGATACACAGTGATTGTACCAAAAGAATTGGTCGACACGGACCATTTTCAGGAGGTGGTAGCATATGATCAAGAATCAGTGATACTAAAGAAAAAAATTAGAACCGCACTAACAGCATTGACTGGCACAGCATAGCACCCCAGGAATTGGTGGAACACTAGTCTCAATAAATAGATACAGCTGGGTATGATCACTAATCTGTGATAAAAAATTTAAAAGTACCCAGCCAGCTGACTGGAAGAGACCCAAACTTGTCCCATTCCCAGCGAAGGTGATCCAACAGAATAGAAATTATTGATTAGTATCATTAAGATTGTTGCTGTTGTTAAGTGCCGTCGAGTCGCAGTGACTCATAGTGACCCTGTGAAGGAGAGTCCTCGACGCTTGGGTGCCTTTCATCCTCTCTCCAGGTTCATAGGGTTTCTGGAGGCAAGCTATTATGGGAGTGGATGCCACTCCTCCTTCCAAGCTTGTTTTAATCGGGGAGCTCTACCCCACTCTCTGTCCTCATTGGGTAGCCAATCATTAATGCATTTGACACATCAGTGTCACAGTGTTCAGCCTCACAGCAACCACAAGTGACTGCGGTACGGCAACTTGTACACCAGGCTATATGACCTAGAGGAATGTCTGAACAAAAACAATGAAACCTCGCTGAAGATGTTTAAAGAAACACTGTAACAGTATATATAACAAGGAACTACCTTTAATTGAAGCTGGATTCAGAAGAGACCATGGCCTTAGGAATATCGCTGATGTCCAGTGGATGTTGGATGCAAACAGAGAATACCAGAAGAATGGCTATTTGACTGTGTGGATCATCTCAAACTATGGTTAAATTTAAGAAGAATGGAAATCCCAGAACACTTAGTTGACCTCATGCAAAACCTTTACACAGACCAAGGAGTTGTCCGAACAGAACAAGGGCATACGGCATGCTTTAAAAATCAGGAGGGGTGTGCATTGGGGTGTATCCTCTCTCCATACGTGCTCCTGTTTGCTGAGCAGATTATTTGACAGGATGGACTCTGTGAATAAAATGGGGGATCTGGAACAGCCTGCATTATGCAGATGATGGCAACCTTGCTTGCAAAACATTAAAAGGAACTTGGAACAGGAATTTTCAAACTTGAAAACAGAATGTTAAATAACTTATGACAGCAAAGAATTGGAAACAGCACAGACATTCCAAAGTAGGGAATTTCTAATATGTACTATGACATATTCATGATGTAGTATGTTTTTAAAAATCAGTTATAGAAGGATTTTTTTAAATGTTACAAGTGATTAACAGACTAAGTTAACAAAAGATAAAAATGCATATGTAATATCCTTAGATTAATTCAAGAAAATGTATTATTCAAAGAAGAAAAAGAAACCCAGTTATTTGTGTGTACAAGCAGCTTGGGCTGCAAATGAGATCCAGTCTGGAGTCTTCTACGTCAGTCGGGACAGAGGCGGACAGTTCTTATTTGGCCTTGCTTTAGTGCAGGAAGGAGTTGTGGTGCCATAGCCTCTAGCATGTTGTGTTGCTAATCAAAAGCTTTGCATCTGTGGCAGTTGTAGTCCCCTAGTAGCGCCGCAGGAGAGAGATAACCAGTCCCCTCCTGTTAGGCTACGACCTTGAAAACCCATCGGAGGGTCCCTGAGTCAAATCAGTGTGAAGACAGTGTGTTTGGTTTCAGTGCAAGAAAAGGCTTGAGGTCTTTGCCTTGATTTAAAAGCTGTACATGCAGCAAGTGGTTGTGATAAAGACCTTCTTTTGAGTAAGGTTGATAGTCTTAAAGTTAGAGCAGATTTTCATAACTTTAAAGCAAGGGTTCACAGGGACGCTGCCCTGCTCAAGGTGGCGGTTCCCACACCACTTTGAACGTGTCCTAGTCCTGCCTTCTCCAGTCCTGCTCTAATCCAGGCCCATGCGCCAGGCACTGGGAAGGGCTCACTTGACCTCTTCCAGTCTCCTGTTCCAGGCTTCCACCTGTAATAGCCCTGTGGTTATGACGAATCATCCGAATTGCAAGCACTCTCAGTCTCGTGATGTCTTGACTCATTGGCCATGACAGAACCTGGGCACAGCCTTGTTGAAAGGACAAGTAGGGGTTGTCTAGAGCTGGGTATTGTAACCTCATAATAGCTTATAATAAAAAAAGATAAAACAGAAGTGTATTAGTCACTACTTTTGAATGGTAGGTTTATAAGTGTTTCTTTTCTTTGCTTCTCTAAAGTACAAAAAAAAACCAAGCAAAACACACAGCTAAATATGTAACTTTTAAGACTTGGCACTTCATAATTTGTGAGTTTTATGAT